CCTCCCCAAATGTATAAACCAAGCTCCACTCCTTCCCCATGGGCACACGTTCTCAGAATCTTCCTGAGGGCTGTGTCACAGTGGCCATGGTTATCAGGTTTGCCCAGAATAAACCTTCAAATATTTCATAGTTTTACACTTTTCATGACAAGTGCCACTTGGCAAGTCTCCCAGACATATTTTGCCCATCTGTTTATTTAAAATTTCAATTGCACTTGCTTTAGAGCATTCTTGTCAACACTAATAATTATAGATGCACTGTTTTAACTGTATCTCATATAGACATTAACTCATTGGGGTTAATTTGTGATTCAATACATGAGTAAATGCCATTGTAGGTATTATTACTGGAGACAGTTTCACTCTCATTTTGTTTAAGGTGTTTTATTTGTATCTTTGCTACATGGCCTGTATTATTTTTAGTAGTCACTCTTCTCCTGTGTAATTTAAAAATTATTAAGACTGATCTTATTTCAACTTTAAGGTCATACTTAAAGCATTCAAGTCATCTTCATTCAATCCTCTTATACAGCAAACAAAAATCTACTTTCTACTTCTCCCTGTGGAAGACGAGGCACTCACCTCCTAGACTTCCTTCTATGAGCTTCAAGACTGTGCTGAAACACACAGAGATTTTTATTTGTCTATTGTTGTTATTTTGAAGATATAGTTTTCATAAATGGGTATAACATCTACATTCTGTACTATGAACATGATTTTTCTATTTTTATTTTCTATTTTCTATTTTTATTTTTCTATTTTTCTATTTTCTATTTTTAAATACTTAAATAATTTACTGTTTACTCTCAGTCAGGGGTAGCCACCTATTTTCTGTTTTTTCTTCTTTTTTGAGTCTTGCTCTGTCGCCCAGGCTAGAATGCAGTGGCGCGATATCCGCTCACTGCAAGCTCCACTTCCTGGGTTCATGCATTCTCCTGCCTCAGCCTCCCAAGTAGCTGGGACTACAGGCACCCGCCACCACGCCCGGCTAATTTTTTGTATTTTTTAGTAGAGATGGAGTTTCATCGTGTTAGCCAGGATATTCTCGATCTCCTGACCTCATGATCCGCCTGCCTCAGCCTCCCAAAGTGCTGGGATTACAGGCGTCAGCCACTACGCCTGGCCGGCCACCTAATTTTTAAGGCCCATTTCAAAATGAAAATGTAGAGCCTTTGTTCAAACATTATTAAGAATTTTCAGATGACAACAGCTGAGCATTAAGTCACGTGAGGCCTGTTTCAGCACAATGCCCTCTATAACCACATCCTAAGCCTAGGAAGACTGCCCTGCTGCCAGTCTTTTCATGTCCTTCCCCATTTGTCACTTAGTTTGACTTCTCATTTGGTAGACTGGGTATAGACTTTGCACCAGTCCCTGCCCTTCTGGCCCTCAGAGTCCTTCCTTCCCCTTCCCCTGCTGTGCCCTGAGCCATAGGTTCTTGACTCAGCTGGTTTTTCAGCTAGATTTGGCCAACAGGAATGTCTGTCAATAAATTGGAAGGAGGGAGGAAGGTGAAGCAGAATCTTTTTCTCCCAGTTCATCTCAGTCAGCATCTCAGGCACCAGCTCCTCACTGTCTAAAGCACTATCTCCATCCCCACTGGACAGGCCTGCCAGGATTCCAGATTCCTTCAGGCAACTCTGACCCCTGGCCTGACTCCTTTGTCCAGTCAGCCCAGGGACTGGCTGTTGGGCTAATCTTGAAGTATCTTAATGTTATTTGTTATCTTAGCTCTTACATCAACGGTGAAACTGAATCCCTTTATTCAGTTCCTCCTGTTTCAAATACTCATGAGAAATATACTTTTTGATTTTATACAAAGAAGAGATGGCTGTCTGTTACCTTCATATGCAAATGACAGTCTAGCATGATGTAAAATTCATGAGTTGCATGTGTTTATTTTACTAAAGTTTGGAGCAGTGCCTCTCATATGTTAGCCATGCATCTGAATCACCTGGAGGGCATATCAAGACACTGATTTCTGAGTTCCACCTCCAGAGAATTGAAATTAGTATGTCTGGGATAGTGGTCCAAGATTTGGCATTCTAACAAGAACCCAGGTGATGCTAAAGCTGCCAGCCTACAGACCACATGCGAGTGGCATTCCTCTGAAACTCGCTCCATTATCTGCTAGCATTTAATGCTACTTAGAAGATGTGTGAGTTCAGTCTCAGTTTTTAAGTTTAATAGGTGACAGGAGTATTCATAAGGTTATCTTTAACCTGGTAGTTCAGCAAACTTTCCAGAATGTTGTGGCATTAGCCAGCCATTGTAAATTTTCTTCTTGATCAGATGATCGCTACCTTCCTTCATTTTAGAGAAAATTTCTTCTAAAATATTTTTAAGAATATGTTTGTTTCTGTTTCATTTGTTCTCTCCTCTATTTGAGGCAGAACCACCAAAGTATCCACATGTTGGCCTCTACTGTGGCTCCCTCGTGCATGGTGGTTCTCCCAGGTTTCATGCACCTTGGGAGAATCTCTGATGAGCCCAGTTCTTCAGGTAATTGATGGATTGGCAAGAAAACTAGGCACTCTGGTAACTTTGTCCTCACATACGTTTCTTTCAAATCTGTGGTCCACTTAGTGGAAAGTAACTCAGCCAGCCATGGGTCAGGCTGCTTGCAGGACCTGGGTCTCCATAATGGAAAGTCCATGTAGGCACCTGCTATTTCTTGATTCTGCTACCAGTGTCATTCTGTGGTGAGGAACTGAGCTCCTTTCTTTTCTTGGCTTTCCCAGATTCTTAAGTGCTATTCTCCAAATTGAAGGGAACTTAGAAAGATCTTCAAAAATTCCCATGCTTTCTCTTCCCTCACTGCCTGCAACATGTTTTATAGAACTATATGTTGACTCTTCCTTCAACCTGTTCCAAAGTAAACAATCTATTGGCTGTTGTTTACAATCAGTGTGATATGGTTTGGCTGTGTCCCCACCCAAATCTCATCTTAAATTGTGGCTCCCACAATTCCCACATGTCATGGGAGGGACCTGGTGGGAGGTAATGGAATCAAAGTTTCCTTTGCTGTTCTCATGATAGTAAGTCTCATGAGATCTGATGGTTTTAAAAAGGGGAGTTCCCCTGCACATGCTGTCTTGCCTGCCACCATGTAAAATGTGCCTTTCCTCCTTCTTTGCCTTCTGCCATGATTATGAGGCCTCCCCAGCCACATAGAACTGTGAGTTTATTAAACCTCTTTTTCTTTGTAAATTATGCAGTCTCAGGTATGTCTTTATTAGCGGCATGAGAACAGACTAAAACACAGTGAAAATAGAGAACATACTTGTTTTCTGAATAGACAAAGTTTTCTGAACTATGAATTAACATTTTTGTTCATTTAGGTGATTATAAGGAAGGTGTTACTTTTTTACTTCCCAGTAAGTTTTCTTTCCTAGTTTAAAGATAACTCATAAGGAGCAAGAGATTTTCCAGTATGAAGAGATGAATAATGCAGTGTGGTTTTCAAGGAGTCAGAAGGAGAGAGGAGACTCTATAAACCACATTCTTACTCTGAAGTACTTTAGAGTTTGAGAGAATAAGTAGTTTCTACTTGAGATAAAAAGCAATGTCCTTAAGAGAAATCCAAGTTACAATTAAAGCAAGGAAAGGCAAGGAACTGTCAATAAAGAAGCAGTCTATGGAAAAAGGGAAGTTTGCTAATCATGTAGCTGGACTTCCAAAGCATAACTGGAAGTTTTATGCAGCATGGGAGGAAAAGGGTGTTGGGCCAAGGGAGAAAATTCAGAATCTTATGGTGATACAAGCACGGGAGAGAATAGGGGACCAAAGGAGCTTATGATTCGAATGGCATTCAAAGAAACCAGGAACGTTCAGCAGAGAGGGTTGCTACTTCAGACAAAAAAGAGGGGAGGGTGCAGCAGCTCCCTTCATCATCTGATGGAGTTAGGCATCTCAGGTAGTGAGCAAGGAAGTCCAGATCTAGTCACTAGGTGCTCAGGAGTGGGCAGTCATCCTGCCAGCTTGGACCCTGTGTGTCTGGTTCCAGTGAAGATTAAGTCATCAAACCAAGGGAGCACAGGGACCAAGAGGTAAGCTACAAAAACTACAGCTCTTCTTGAGACATCCCCTACAAGATCCTGTCCAGAGACACCGGAGGAGGCAATGGTGCTGGTCAGCGCTTTGTGCCATTTTGTGGCCTTTCCTACCTGCCCCCTCTTTTTGGCCCAAGTTCTTGTCCCACCTGCTTAGCCACCCACTGCCTGCCTATGGTTCTTCCCTCTCTGGTCTTTAGTGTCCTCACTGGTAAAATGAACATAACATCTCTAATCATGCATATTCATGTAGTGAGGTAGATAATGTGAAAGGGTTTTGAACAATGCAGTAAGGGAAAGAGAGTAGGATACTGACTTCCCATTTTCCCAATTCCTGCTTCAGAACTGCTCTCCTAGGCCCCAAGCCCCTACCTCTGTTAGCCCCTTGATCAATCTTTGTCTGTGGAGTGGCAAAACTACATGGTATCCCAAGAACAGGGACCAATATTACAGCTCCATTTCTTTTCTTTGCTATTTCCCTTGATCACTCTTTTTTTTTTTTTTTTTTTTTTTGAGACGGAGTCTCACTCTGTCGCCCAGGCTGGAGTGCAGGGGCAGGATCTCAGCTCACTGCAAGCTCTGCCTCCCGGGTTTAGGCCATTCTCCTGCCTCAGCCTCCCAAGTAGCTGGGACTATAGGCGCCCGCCATCTCGCCCGGCTAGTTTTTTGTATTTTTTAGTAGAGACGGGGTTTCACCGGGTTAGCCAGGATGGTCTCGATCTCCTGACCTCATGATCCGCCCGTCTCGGCCTCCCAAAGTGCTGGGATCACAGGCTTGAGCCACCGCGCCCGGCCCCCTTGATCACTCTTAAACCAAGAAACTGAGATCTTTTCTCTGGTTGGTGGGGCTTCCTCACTGGAACAAAGGGGAGTATGTACATTTCATAATAGAGATTCTGTGATGAAATGTCCTAAGGAGATACATGTACATTTCATAATAGGCATTATGTGATGGAATGTCCTGAGGGGATAAAAGCTGGAATCGGTCTCAGCACATCTCAGTTACTCATTTTGATTCGTTTGGACAAGTGAGTTACTACAGCGCTTATTTGGAAAAATGACTAGAAAGCTACCTCCAATCTCTCGGCCTCAACCCCAGGCTCCATTTCTTTCTGTTCCTTCCCGCTCTCGTCTTCCAGCCCTCCTTCCCCCCGTTACTCCTCAAACTTCCTGCCCTCAGCCTCCTCTCCAGAGCCGTCCATCTTGTTCGATTTTCTGCCCTACCCGTTTGCCCAAGCTGACTGATGTCTCCTCTTCCCAGTACCCTACCTCAAGGAATTTTCTGCCCAGCTCTTCCTCTGTTACTACCAGAGCGTCTGTGTGCCGCCAACTTGTTCGTCAGGCACCCCTTTCCCAGTGCCCTCCTATCTTCCCCCCTCGCCCTCCTCATAGCCCTTCTTGCTAGTTTCCTGTACTCTAGTCCTCACTCCCTACCCAGCCACCCCCAACCAGACCTGACGATTTACAAATCTCACCCTGGAGAAATGGTTTCCCTCCTACTGGGGCAGTTCTCAGGCAGTTCAGAATTGCCAGGACTGTGGATTCCCAGCAACGACCTGGCAGACACAGGGAATCCAAGACCATGGCAAGCGAATATTCAGCCTGGCCTGCGCCTTTCCTCTCCTGCCTGGGCAGCCAGACTGCACAAGCGTCTGCATTTGAACTGGCTTCTCCGTGGAACTTGGTCTGTAACCACAGAGCAAACTGTAGAACCAGAGGCAGAGAAGGTAGGGGATTGAAAAGCATCGAATCTGTTCTCAAGGAGGGAGGTGATTGGCCAACGTGAGGTCCAGTTTTATGTTCATTATCTCCTGGGTTTGCCAGTTGATGGCAAGCCTTTTTCCTGGCAGTATCGAGAGGCAGTTCTAGTAAAGAGGCTGGATTCCGAGAGGCCAGAGCGGTATCATAGAACGCTGTTGCCTGGAGATGGAGCGGGGCGCCGTTGCCTAGAGACTGCAGGAGGCCCGCGGCCGAGCGAGTGGTAAGAGGACGCCAAGAGAGTGCCGGACCCACGGAGCAGCTCCAAGGCCATGGCTGGACACCCGAAAGAGAGGGTGGTCACAGATGAGGTCCATCAGAACCAGATCTTGCGGGAGCTGTACCTCAAAGAGTTACGAACCCAGAAACTCTACACTCAGTACCACGTGAATCCCCTGCGCAAGGTTCACAGGATTACGAGGAAGCCCATGTCTTGGCATGATAACCTGGAGGAACCCGCAGACGCCAGGTTTCTGAATCTCATTCACCATGCTGCCCAGGGGCCAAGGAAGAAGTACCCGGAGGCACAAACTGAAAACCAGGAAATTGGGTGGGACTTAGAGCCCTTGGTCGACCCAGAACGCAGTGACCGTAGGATGAACCACTTCAGGGTCTACAATGACATCACTCTGTACAAAGCTAAAATGTGGAGCTTGGGAGAAGATGATCGCCACAAGTAGCTTCTCAGCAATGGAGTCAGTTCCTGGATTTAATGTCCTAAATATCCACTGCCTAGAAGAGTAAATATTACTTTAACCTACCCCGTCCATAATTCATGGATAATGGCAAAAATTAGGAAGCATAAAAAAATGCGGAAGAAGGAAATAAAAATTGCCCATTATCTCACCATATGGAAGTGACTAATATTAGCATTTTAAACCATTTGTTTTTAAAATTAATAATAAATTGCATATATCTATTGTGTACAATGTGATGTTTTGAAATATGTATAAATGGTGGAATGGTTAAATCGAGTATCTCACATACTTATTTTGTGGTGAGAGGACTTAAAATCTATTCTCTTAGCGATTTTCAAGAACACAATACATTGTTATTAACTGTAGTCGCCACAGTTAATCTTGACAGCTCTCTTGAACTTATTCCTCCAACTGAAATTTTGTATCCTTTAGCCATCATCGCCCCAATTCCTATCCCTAACCCCTGGTAATCACCATTCTAATCTCTAATTCTATGAGTTTGACTTTTTTAGATTTAGAAAATGTGGTATATTTACTTAATGGAATACAATTCGGCCTTAAGAAAGAAAGAAATCTCGTCATTTACAGCAACATGGAGGAACTTGAAGGACATTATGTTAAGTGAAATAAGCCAGGCACAGAAAGACAAATACCACATGATCTCACTTACATGGTGAATCTAAATATGCCAACATGTTTGCATACTTCTATATTTTTCTGTATATTTGAACTTATTGATCTTACATTTTGATTAATAAAAGATTGTAAGCATATATTTCCAGACAGCTGGAGAAAACGGACAGGAATATGATTCTACTCATATGGCATGAACATATAAGATTTGATTATGCCTCTTATCCCAGTGTAATTACAAATAGTGCCTTCTTTCACTCTCAAAAGTCTTAGTGGAAGCAAGGCTGAAGAAAGTTGGAGGAAAGGGTAGAGTTTTACAGGGAAGTTAAGGAAAGTGAAGATAAAGTTCGTTGAGCAAAAACAGTAAACCATTATACTGTCAGTGTTGAAGCCACCAAAAGAAATTTAACTTAACATTTTAAATAATTAGTGCTAATTAATTATTTAATTTAAAATTTGGGGGCCAGGTGCAGTGGCTCACGCCTGTAACCCCAGCACTTTGGGAGGCTGAGGTGGGCAGATCATGAGGTCAGGAGTTGGAGACCAGCCTGGCCAACATGATGAAACCCTGTCGTTACTAAAAATACAAAAATTAGCCAGGCATGATGGTGTGCACCTGTAATCCCAGCTACTCAGGAGGCTGAGGCAGGGGAATTGCTTGGACCCAGGAGGTGGAGGTTGCTGAGCTGAGATCATGCCACTGCCCTCCAGCCTAGGCAACAGAGTGAGACTCTGTCTCAAAAAAATAAATAAAATAAAATTTGGGAAGGAGGAGAAAAGCAGGAGGGAGAAGTGTTAAGTGAGTTAAGTTCTCATCTTGGATGTTGCCCAAACAGGAACAATGGCACCACATAGAATGCAGTTCTATGGAACTGCTCTTATGGAAACTCCATGGCCACTTCACACTATCCCTTCACACTTTTGATTTGAGGACTAGAGTCTAGTTTATACCTAGACCATAGATCCTCCACTACAGTTACTGCAGAGTATTTCTACCCATAGATTGGCTAGAACATCCCATCATCCCAAGTGCTAATATTTTTCTGAGTTTTACCTAAGCAGTGTGTTTGCTTGATAAAAACTAGGTCACATATGGGTTCTCAGTTTCAAGAGAGTCCAGGAAATGCAGGGTGTTTTTTTTGTTTTTTGTTTTTTTTTTAAGTTTGCTAGCTTCTGTAGTATGGGAAGGCAATAGAAGCTGTTGGAGTTTGCACTGAGTAAGCCAATTTGCAGGATTTTCCATAATCTACTGGCCTAAATAACACCTGTTGACAGTATTTTAAAAGTAAATATTGTACATATGTAAAATGAGAAAATTTATACAGTAGAGCAGGTGTAAAATAAAAGGTAAAAGCTGCTTTTTATTACCCTTTTCTATTAGTTAGTCCCCACTCCCTATCCAGCCACCCCCAACCAGACCTGACAGCTTACAAATCTCACCCTGGAGAAATGGTTTCCCTCCTACTGGAGCAGTTCTCAGAATTGCCAGGACTGTGGATTCCCAGCAACGACCTGGCAGACACGGGGAATCCAAGACCATGGCAAGCATTCAGCATCATTTTCATTTTGAACTGGGCCTTAAAAATTAGGTGGCCGGCCGGGCGCGGTGGCTGACGCCTGGAATCCCAGCACTTTGGGAGGCCGAGGCAGGCGGATCACGAGGTCAGGAGATTGAGAACATCCTGGCTAACACGGTGAAACCCCGTCTCTATTTAATACAAAAAAATTAGTCAGGTGTGGTGGTGGGTGCCTGTAGTCCCAGCTACTCGGGAGGCTGAGGCAGGAGAATGGCGTGAACCTGGGAGGCGGAGCTTGCAGTGAGTGGATATCATGCCACTGCGCTCCAGCCTGTCGACAGAGTGAGACTCCATCTCAAAAAAAAAAAAAAAAAAAAAAAAAATTAGGTGGCCACCACAGACCGAGAGTAAATCGTAAATTATTTAAAAATAGAAAAATAATGTTCATAGTACAGAATGTAGACATTATACCTATTTATAGAAAAGCTACATAATGTTAAAAATAACAACAA